TTGCGTTTTTTAGACTTAAAACATTTTTTTGTAGCTCTTGTCCTGCTGAGGGCCTTAAAGCTAAACCAACTGCTAGGGCTGAAAGCAAATCACACATTTTGTGAAGAATGTGTTATTCACAGCATTCCTTTCAGATGCTTAGTTCACTGGCTTCTGCTTTTGTGGAAATCCACAGGCATGGGTCGGTCTGTTTGAAGATAAACTACAAAACCGATCCCCAGATGAGTGGGAAGAACTAGCTACCCCAGGTTACTTCTTAGTTACTGGCAGCTGCTTACAGCACAATAGGTTTCCCTGCAAAACAGCCATTGTAGCTTAAGACGATAACAGTGAGAAGGAGCAGCACAGGACAGGGAAAGTTAGTTCTGTGTTCCCAACCTGGAGCCGACACCAGTGCCACTATGCAGCTTTGGTAAAGCTTTAGTCTCTCCCTCTGGAATGTGATATCTCCTTCATAAAATCATAGGATTGGAAGAGACTTCAGAAGGTCTCTGAGTCCAACCCCCTGCCCAAAGCAGGACCAATTCTCTTAGATGAGTTGTGGAACTCATGTAAATAATGCTACCTATGCAGAGTAAGGATGTTATGTTTCGTATAACTGAGTCATCAACTAGTCGATAGGGTAGCACTGCCCCTTTGAAATGCCTCAACAGCATTTCAATGTGGCAGCGCCACAACAAGTCTGGGATCAGCTGGGGACTCCCCTCATTTGAAGGAGGGAGGGACTCCCCCCATTTAAAGCTGCTGTGGCATTTCAGGGAGACAGCGCTGCACGGAGCAGCTGACCCCAAGTTCTGTGAAGCACTGCCATTTTGAAGTACCCCCTTAGAGGCAGCAAGGGGGAGGAGGAGGTGGAAGAGACTTCTTGTCAACTGGTTCTTACCATCCCTAATGCAGAGCTATTAAATAAATGCCATCCTATTTAATACACTTTTGTACTGTTTTTTAAACCTTTCATTGGAACAACAACTATAAAGGAAACAGAAAAACAATTCCTTTCTTCCTCAGTTTTCTTTTTACACCTGACAGATTGCAGACAGTTTCATTAGCGTTGCCAGTTGTATGAATCTTTAAAAATCACCAGGGGAAAGAACCATTTTAAGTGATAGGACAACAAAACAAGAAACCCACAAGGGGCACCATATATAGCACCTTGCAATTACAACAACACAATTCTCTAAAAATCACGAAGTTCTGGCCGAAGGATGCCTAGTATTTGGCGCTATTAGAGCCAGACTTTGCTTATATAACAGAAGAATCTATTGGATACCCCAACATCCACATTTTTTGGTACCATTCATTACATTTTGATAAAGAGGACCTATAAAATCATCTTGTTGGATCTTCCCAAAAATCTTAAGGTTGGCCTTGGTTGTGTGATCATTATATAACATTTTGGGACCAGAGTACAGTGGGGTAGTGGAGTAATCGCACTCAAAAATTTTAAGGTCAACATTAGCTACAACCCACACATTTTTTAGCATTGCCCTGTTCCTCAGCATTCACCAATCTTCAAGGTAAAGGACACATCAGAGCAACTTCTCCTTTAGCAGTATTCTAGGCAACAAAAACAAGACTCCCTTGCCTGCTGCATGATGGTTTTGTCAGTAGTGAATCGGCTCTTTGTCATGTACTGCAAGTTCTTCTTCAATTGATCCACAGCCTGGTGCTTCTGGTACTCCTCTGAGACAGGACAGAGAACAAGGCATCTTTGTGAGTGTGTATTGTGTAACAACTAAATGGAGAGTACAGAGAGCCAAGTAGGGGCATCATAACCAGAATATGACATTACTCCTGGGCCATGTGTCTGTTGGCAGTGGCACCACAACTTTGTTTTAAGAATCATGGGGACAAGACAATGATAAAGAAGAGAGTGGGGGGGGGGGGGGGGAATGGTGCAGCAGGTGCAAAGAGGATCCTATAGAGCTCCTAACCTGGACAGACGGGAAGAAAGCCAATTCACATGCATGCAACGGGCTTCTCCCCTCACCAAGCTGTCAGCCTTGAAAAGACTGGTCAGCCTTCGTTCTCACGACCACGTGGGATAATAGCGTCCCCTCTTAAGGCCCTGGGGGCGCACCGTTTTCAGGCCAGCTGGTTTTCCTCTGGTAAGTCCCAGGCTTCTGTGCCCAGTGCCTCCCACCAGCAAGGCAGCCTGGGGTAGTGGCAGCGGGGGAGGGTCCTCACCTATCGCCGACTTAGTGACTTTGCCTTTGACCGTGTTCTTGTCCCTGCCAGGGCCCCGAGCCGCCTTCCTCCTCCCGAGGCGTTTGCAGGGCCGCTGCGGGGGGCTGCGGAGCCCGGGCTGGTGCCCTGTGGGGGGAGAGAAAGTTAATGGGGCGCGCAGGTGAGGATCTGAGCCCCGCTCGGCCCCACTTACTTACCCGCCGCCTCCAGCAGCTCCAGGCCCTTCCTCAGCAAGGACGCCGACATTCTACCCACGTGGAGCCGGCTTGCGCCTCTCCTCCCCCCCCACTTCCC